ACATCCAGTTCCAGGGAACACTCCAAAAAAAGCCATGTCTATTTTATCCTTAATACCCTGAATCACATCCAGTTCCAGGGAACACTCCAAAAAAAGCCATGTCTATTTTATCCTTAATACCCTGAAGAAGTTCTTTATACTTTTTAAGCAGCTCTTCTGGTTTACAACTTCCAATGTTCATTGGCCCTGAAGGCCTTGGTATCAGAAACTAAATGCCAATATGCTATCCTCTATTTTACCACCTGGCAAGCAAACTTTAGTCCTGCTCTTTTTTATGTTACCCACCACAAATAACTTTCAGTATATTAATGAGTCTTTCAATATGTACACCTCTTGATCATGTCCTTCCTCACTGCAAGAAGCCAAAGGTTCCAATCTATTAAACACTTGAATCTCCACCTGCTTCTAAAGCCCAACATTTTTACTATCATGTACCCTTATAAACCTACCACTCTCCTCCTCACCCTCTCTCTAGATAGCCTTCAATCTATCTCTATCCATTTCTTTTCTTAATTTGTTCCTAACCTCCTACTTTCCACCTCTTATCGCACAAATTTCCCAGTGCTATCTCTAAAGTACTCTTAAACGAGCTCTGCAAGTGTACAGTATTATATCTTTCCAAGCTTCTCGAAAGTCACAATCAAGCCCACAATTCTCAAACATAATCCAATTCTCCGACCTATCATTGTCTATAAATTTCTTCTCACTTAATGTAAGAGAGGAATTTATGATTTCCTGAAAAAAAAGGGTGGGTGGGCATGACAACTCATAGGACTAAATGTTCCCTTGTTTTTGACTAGTTTTATTATAAAGAAAAATTAAATTAAATTTGCAAAGAAAGATATTCACAGACACCAACCACCATACCCTGAGCTAAGTGTACACAATTCAATCAAAAGTACAAATCCAACCTAAACCAGAGAAACAATGGAATTTGCACTTGTTGTCCCATAAAAATTTGACTGCATTTTCAATGTCATATACAAATGGGCCCTTATGATCTGTCATAAAGTGATAAAATTTAATAAAAGCTATTACAAGCAATTATCAATACATGGTAAACAAGTACATTAAAAAAATAAGCCTGAACAACAAATTTACCCACATTAAACAAGGTTGTTTATTTTATGGACAAATATGAAAAGTTCTTAGAATAAATCTATTACTTTGCATTAAAATATTATTAGAGGGAAGGATTGGGGTCAGAGCCACATTTAAGCATAAGCAGCTGCCTAGGGTGGCAAATTTAAGAAACACTGAACCAAAGCGACAACAAAAATTTAATGAATTATGTTCTTATTTAAACTTGTTATGAGAGAGCATTGCAACCCACCACACCAGATCAAGACACCAATAAAGAATGCTGAGTGATCATGTGACTGATCACATGATTAGTGATGCAACTAATACAAAGGATTCATTTCTGGAGTGATCACGTGGAGGTGGGGGCAGCAAAAACATGTCTGCCCTATACCTTAATATGACTGGGATAGAACATTTTTGGATGACTTTCAAATTGCTGTGCTTTGAAGTGATGTTTTCTCATTGTTTTTAACCAGTGAGGTTATTGGCTTGATTCTTGATCCTGCAAACTTATACAGAAGAAATGTTTTGGTAGTGTACAGTCCAGATGTTAGTCCAAAACTTGATAGAAAAACAATTACAGGAAAAATGTTTTGGTAGTGTATAGTACAGATGTTAGTCCAAAACTTGATAGAAAAACAATTACAGGAAAAATGTTTTGGTAGTGTACAGTACAGATGTTAGTCCAAAACTTGATAGAAAAACATTACAGGAAAAATGTTTTGGTAGTGTACAGTACAGATGTTAGTCCAAAACTTGATAAAAAAACAAAGGTTACAGAAGAAATGTTTTGGTAGTGTACAGTACAAACGCAAGTCCAAAACTTGATAATAAAAAAAAAACATTAAGAGTTTAAAAATAAAGTTCCTGACATTATTTACCCTAGATTTGTATAACAGGTAATGAACTAGATCTGGTAGGTCATTGGACAGAGGGAGGGTGACAGCAGATTAGAAGGTGGCTAATATTATTCCAATTTTTTTATATGCAAGATAAGCTTTTCCTTGGAACTTTAGTCCAGTTAGTCTCAAATCAGTGATTGGAAAAGTTTTAGATTCCGATAAATATTTTGCATGATCATCCTGCCTCACTAGCATACGGTGCATTAACTTTTTGTTTTTTAATGATGGTGATTCTTATATAGATGAGGGTAAATTAGTAAATTAGGTTTATTTGAATTTCTAAAAACCTTTTGATAATGTACCAAAAGGTGAAAAACATTAAGATGGAGTAGGGGTAAACTTAATTAAATAGATTGAAAGTTTGAAGGGAGAGAAAAGCAAAAAAGCTATTAATAATAATCTAACTGGACAAACATTACAAAAGTTGTGCCTCAGAGCTCTAGGTTGGAATTGTTGCTATTTTCCATTTACATTAAGACAGTGTATATAGAGGTGAAAGTCAGTTCCATGAATATTTCAGGACTGAGTCTTTACATCACAGTCAATTTTTACATCTCTAGATGATGCAAAAACCGAATTTAAAAAAATCTAAACTTTACATTTAGGAATTTTAAAACAATATAATCCTCTAAGAAAGAAACACCTATATGAGCCAGTACTGCAAATAAAGAGTTGAAATATTACTCCTGTCATGTTATATTGTTCTTTTAGCAAGAAAAAATGTCAAACTTGTGTTCAATAAAGTATACACAAATAAAAAAATTTAAAACTTCACAATAAGTGAAATGTATAATGATAAGGATTTCCAATTCAGAATCACAGTTCATTTGGCCCATCAATAACATTCAATCTTCAAAGACCTACAATCAGTCTTAAATCAATTATAGTGAGCCAAGAGTCCACGTGACTGTTACAAATACACTTGTCCTGGAACACTAAGTGACCTTGTAGAACCAACACTTGGCTAAATATACACTGTCAAAAGGGTGACAAGTTGGAACTAATCATACTTATTTTTAACCTCACTACTTTACTGTCATTGGTGCAATGTATTATCATTATCCTTAAAGACTGATATTTTATATTTTTTGTGTGAAGCAACATGTATGTACTATGTCACAAGACACTCTTACCAAGTGCCCATACTTATTGTGCTCAAAATAAAACTGAAAATGTATGGCCTAAATAAATCCCTCTAACTTATTAGCAACTGCAATTATATGTTACAAAGTAACAAAAATTAAAGAGGAAGAAAAATTATTATCACAGTATTATCAACTTTTAGGGGATGATTCTTAAATAATCAGTTTTCTGCTAATCACTTCTACTATTCAGTAACTATATTGTTATTAACAACTGAAGTTTTTTTACTAAAACATTTTAAATCAAGAAATAATCTCTACTAATTGGACAATAATTCACTGGAAATTGGTTAAGTATGCTGATGCATTATAAAGACAAAATAACTGCAACACAGTCACTAATTAGAATGTCTAAATCAGTAAATGTCCATGGCACTACATACTAGTACTACTATTACCATTAGTACAAATATCTAAAATCGTACGTCTATATAAAAAAAAGTATAATTGTACTGACAGAAAATTATATTTAAAAAAGTAAACAGAAAAATGCTAAAAGTAAAAGATTAAAGCTATCCATCCCGTTATATATTTATATAACATATGTATATTTTTTATAATACTTGAGTTACAACAAACTGAAATATTCTTAGGTTTGTTTGAACTCACTTTTCAACACGACACACATATGTGATGTTTTCGTTCCCTCTATAACGTTACATCATTATTAGTAGAAGTTAGAACCAAAATACCATCCAACTCAAATTCTTATCACAACACCGTTATATTTGCAAGATAAGACTTTGCTTATTTAGTCTTTACCTTGCCACGAGCTGGCAATGCGCCCTCTAGCGTCTGACGTATGCTATATTTTCAATATTTTAATTTAGATGTTTGGTGGAAAATTCGTGTAGTCAGTAAAAAGTGAGTACTACATAAATACGAGTGAGTAGTTAATGAGTAACGAGTTAATGTTGTTGTAATGTTGTTCTTCGTTAGAAATTGTTTTTAATTCCTGTTGAAAATAATTCAAAGTCCAATTCACGTAAACCAGTGATTCCCAACCTGTGGTCCTCTGACTCCTGGGGGTCCGCGAAGATAATACCATCTCATTATACAAGTAAGTTTTTAATTCTGCTGTTCTTTTAATTGCACATTCAGTTATATATGTCTTTTATTTGATAGGGAAAATGGAAAAACAAGTTAATTATTAGTGAGAAAAACAGTTTGTTGGGTAGATGGAATTTTTCAAAAACATGGGGTCCTTGGTGGTGAAAAGGTTGGGAACCGCTGACGTAAACCATAACACATAAGTTTATTTCTTTTTTTTTAACATTTTACAACTTACCTTCATTAGATATAGTTGTAGTCTACGTTCAAAATTGACACTAATCGCATTTGCATTGTATTAACTTAAAGAATAAATTTACTTCACGCTAAAATGAAAAGAGAATACTCGGATTGATTCGCTCTACTGGTAAGAAACGATTCTGCTATCTTGAAACAACTCTGCATCTTCAGTACTATCTCGCATTTATAATATACACCCAAATTTACTAGAAAACTTGACACCAAATGTTTTAGAACATTCTAGGTGTTCCAGACCGATCTTATGAAACTTTCCAATCTTAACGTTATGACCCGCAATACTCTCTAGCAAACAACAAATTACAACATTAAAAATATACTTTATAACACTGCTCCCTTACCGGATTGTGAAGTGCCTTGAACAACCCTAATACAATAAATAAGTAAAATAAAACACTACACTCAACTGCCTATTGAACAAGTCTTTTTGGTGTATTTTTTTTTCATTCCAAGACCCATGTTTCACAGATAGGATGGTGTCTTGCCCCTTATTGTCACTAACTTTCCTGTTACTAGGGGAGTTTGTTTTGGGTAGGTGGTCAAGTCAACCCACTTACAGCTCCATCATTGATGATCTTTTGGAAGTAGTATTGACAAGAGCTCTGGGTTTCTGAACATATTAACTTTCTGTTGCAAAGTTCTCCTCTAAAGTTCGCCAGTTTGTCAACCTTTCACCAACATACTTCTAGAAATTATCACAGTTGGTGATCTTTAGCTTTGCTCTCCTATTCTTCTTGTTTCTATAAACCACATCATTGATAATTTTCGGAACATGGTCCCCTCCAAGCACCTGTTTCTTTACTTTGGAGTTTGTCCTTTCTCATGGTGGGTATTGCACAGCCATACCATGTCACTTCAATGAAATCCAATCTTATCATCGTTAACATTATTACAGCTTTTCATTTTATCATTAGTTACTTTAAGTCTTTTCTTGGGTAAAGTGATGTGTACCATCAATGGTGTTCCTCAATCTATCTACATATTCTATATAAGACTCTTCTGAATGACTATTCTCCAAACAAAAATACGTAAGTTCCAATAGCATTTTAACTTCTCTACTAAACACCAGCAATGATGGAGTGTTATTAGTAGTTTCATGTAATGCTGTATGCTAACTTATCAGTAACATTGAAAGATTTTGATCCTACACTTTCTGATGTTCATCCACATATGTGACTAATTGACTTAATATTGTAGGATTGTATTTCTCCACCATGCTATCAAAAGATGAATGAAGGGCTATTGTCCTGGTCTTTTTAAATTCCAAGGATCTGACACATTTCTGCAAACAAGCCTGATTCAAAGTTCCATCCCTGATCTGAGTGAAGATCTACAGGCAAACTAAATTTGGAGACAAATTTTTTTTGCAAATTTCCTTGTTGGAGTTTCTGATTTCTGGTTAGGAACAACACACACTTCCATCCATTTGGTGAAATAGTCTATAATACTCCTGCTGCCTCCAGTGCAACACTGCTGTAGCTAACAATACTGTTTCTTTCATGGGTCTTTTCACACAAGAAAAGTTCACATTTTGCACTAATTTTCCAAAGAGCCCCTGCACCCAACCCAATAGAGGTGATTTTTTACATGCCCCAATGGCTTCTTAACACCCAAGTGTCCAGCTATTGAAAGATTGTAGAGATCATAGAGTGCTTCAGAAAATAGAGATTATAGAAGTACCAACTGAAATAAATATTTTTGTACACTGGTATCTATCTATTTCCAACATAACAAGTTCTCTTGTAAGAATGAGGAATCATACTATGCCCAATACATCTTTGTTTTGGGGCTGTACAAAGCAGATGTTTGCCATATCTTTATACACTATTCTTGAGCCACTAAATAACTGGTTGTAATTAAATTAAACTAAATAATTGGTTTCAGATTACTATTGGATCACATCTGTTGTTCCTCATCATTGCTTGTGGGTGCCACATCCTGGACTACACTTTACTGTACTTTACTTTAGGTTAGTCATCTTTGCTATTCTGCTCTTCTCTCTTCTTGTAGTATTTACACTCTTCATGAACACATGGTTTTTTGGTTAATGCATTAGCATCTCCATGGTTCCATTCAGGGCATTGCACAATGTTAAAATTATACTCCTCAAGATTTCTGAAAGTATCGTACTATTTGGCCTTCTGGGTAGCAAATATTTACCAGCCACTTCAATGCTGCATAACATGTCTAGAGCAGAAACTTTTATCCATATAGATAATGATGGAAGTAACTCAGAGCTTGAACAACACTTAGTAGCTTCTTTCAAGCTGTACAATACCTCTTTTCTGTAGCATTCATTGATTTGGTATAGTAGGAAATCAGGCGTTCTTTTTCTATGTTCTAATTGTGACAAAACTCTCCCACTGCAAAATAACTTGCATCTGTACCTAAAAGGAGTGGATCTTCCAAAGTTTGGCATGTCAATACAGGAGTAGTGGTTAATTCCTTCTTCAGTCTGTTGAATGCTTATTCACAATCATTAGTCTAACAAAACTTATTTTGTTGTTCAAGTAGTTCGTGAAGTAGTTCAAGAAGACAAGCTATGTCAGTGAAAGATTTTTCAAAATGATGATAGAAAGAGCACTGTCCAAGGAATCCTCTTATTTCATACATGTTCTTTGCTGTTGGCCAATTTTAGACCTAATCAATCTTTGATGGATCCATAGACTCTTCTTCTCTGCTGACTATGTACCCCAGGAAACCCACCTGTTGATGGAATAATTAACCCTTCTTGGGATTCAGCTTAAGATTCCCTTTCCTTAACCAACCCAGAGCTTTCCTTATCCCATCATAAGTATTATTAAAAGACTTCCCATGTGTGATTATATTTTCCAAGTACATAAGTATAACATTCCAGAGTATTCTAGACGGAACACACTCCATTAATCATTGAAATGAAGTAAGAGCATTGCATAATCTAAATGGTAACACAATAAATTGTCACAGTTCATTTCCTGCAATAAAGGCTATCTTCTCTCTTTACTTGTTTAGTAGACTGGTGCTTGCCAATACTCACTATTAATATTCAATGTTGAAAACTATTTCTATCTAGATAGAACGTCCAAAAGAAAGATAATCATTGGCAGTAGGTAGGTATCCTTTCTTGTAACTCCATTAATTTTCCTGATAGTCCATACAGAACCTTGTGAATGCATCTATCTTCTTCATAAATGCAATAATTGATGCCCAAGGATTAGTACTCGGTTCTATCGCTCCTTATTCCTCTTAGCTTCTACTTCTTTGAAAGTCTCAGCCTGTTTTGCAAGTGGAAGTCGTCTGGCTAACTGAAATATTGGGGTTTCATTTCCAGTATCAACCTTGTGATATTTTTACATGTTTGGCCTAAGCCATGAAGTCCACTGGAGAAGATGTCTTGACATTCCATGAGCAAATGATGTAATTGCCAACACGGATCCATTGTAAGACTTTTAATTTTGTCTCTTTTTTCTAGATTATATTCCTGTTTCTTTATGTTTGTATTTCTTTTCACTGTTGTGCCATTTTCTGCACATTTTTGATTTAATTTCCAAACATATGTCACCATCTTAACGTTGATCTTGATTCTATTATATTGTTACGACAGCGGAAGTCACGCGACGCTAGGAGCATGCGCGCTGGAGTTTCTAGAAGGATCAGGACTTATCGAGCAACTCCGCGAATATCCGAGTGTTTGCCAGGCGCCCTCTTTTTTAGTATATAAGCCCGGAAAATAAAGCCAGTGATCGAAGAGATAGCTTGCATAGATAGATAGATATGCAGATAGATTGAAAATATAGATAATTGAGTCAAGCGAACAGTTGGCACCGTAAGTATAGTGTGTGAATCACTGTGATTTATAGCATGTGTTATAAAGGTTGTTAAGTTTAATGTGACTGTGGAAATTCTGTGTATTACAAAGTTGTATCGACAAAGAATAAACTAGTTTTAATTAAGAAAGGACTTGTATCGCTGAAGTTCCTCGGAAAGAATTTATACAGGAAATTAAGGAAATTATCAAACGAGCAGATACGTTACAATATTTTTACCAAACTAATCCTACCTCTGACACTAGAGTTGTAACAGATTCTATCTTTATGCAAATTCTTTTTTATTATTATTCAGCAACAAATAACGATAAAGGATAAAGGCACTACCCACACAACTGATGATTAATCTCACCACAAAATAATGGTGGTTGTAACCTCGAGTTATAACTTAACCTATCAGGGGAAAAGATCACTGTCAATTTTGATATAATATGCTTCAATTACAGAAATATTTCCATCAAGAAAGTATATGCGATACTCTAATTGAATGGCCAAGTTTGGTAAGTAACTAGGGCAAGAGGAAATTAGCAGCTCCGTTGACTGGTATTCTGTATTAAGATTGCATACATAATATGTACAATTAAAAAAAATATATTCAATAAGTGGGTAGAAGATGTGTAGTATACCAGCATACCATACCTTGCCTCTTATCTTTACCTTCAGG